AACAACAAAATAGATAAATCTTTGGTTAATTTGATTAAAAAAAAAAAGAAGAAAACCACATTACCAGTATCAAAAATGAAAAGGATGAAATCACCACCAATGAAGAGGAAATTAAAACAATAATTAGGAGCTATTTTGCCCAACTGTATGCCAATAAATCTGACAATCTAAGTGAAATGGATGAATATTTACAAAACATAAATTGCCCAAATTAACAGAAGAAGAAATAAAATACTTAAATAACTCAATTTCAGAAAAAGAAATTGAACAAGCCATAATGAACTTCCTAAGAAAAAATCTCCAGGGCCAGATGGATTTACAAGTGAATTCTACAAACATTTAATGAACAATTAATTTCAATACTATATAAACTATGTGGAAAAACAGGTGAAGAAGTAGCCCTACCAAATTTTTTTTATGATACAAATATGGTGCTGATACCTAAACCAGGAAGAGTCAAAACACTGAAAGAAAATTAATAGATCAATTTCCCTAATGAATACAGATGCAAAAATTTTAAATAAAATATTAGCAAATTAGATTACAACAACTTATCTTGAGGATAATACACTATGACCAGGTAAGATTTATACCAGGAATGAAGGGCTGGTTCAATATTAGGAAAACTATCAGCATAATTGACTATATCAATAACAAAAGTAAAAGAAATGATATGATTATTTCAATAGATGCGGAAAAAGCTTTTGACAAAATACAGCAACCATTTCTATTAAAAACACTGGAGATCATAGGAAAAATGGAGTTTTCCTTAAAAGGATAAGTAACATCTATCTTAAACCATCAGCAAGCATTATATGTAATGAGGGTAAGCTAGAAGCTTTCCCAGTAAGATCAGAGGTGAAACAAGGATGTCCATTATCACCACTGTTATTTAATATTGTACTAGAAATTTTAGCTTTAGCAATAAGAGAAGAAAAGGAAATTGAAAGAATTAGAATAGGCATGAGGAAACAAAACGATTACCCTCTGCAAATGATATGATGGTATACTTAGAGAATCCTAGAGAATCAACTAAGGAACTACTTGGAATAATGGACAACTTTAGCAAAGTTGCAGGAATTAAGATAAACCCACATAAATAATTGGCATTTCTACATATTATTAACAAAGCCCAGCAGCAAGAGATAGAGAGATTCCATTTAAAATAACTGCAGACAATATAAAATATTTGGGAGTCTACCTGCTAAGACAAACTCAGCAACCATATGAACACAATTACAAAACACTTTTCATACAAATAAAGTCAAATCTAAAATAACTGGAAAAATATCAGTTGCTTATGGGAAAGGTCAAGTGGAAGCTAATGACTCCATGAGCTATCAAGAAACAATAAAACAAAATCAAAAGACTGAAAAATAGAAGAGAATATGAAATATCTTGTTGGAAAAATAAATGACGTGGAAAGTAGATTGAGGAGAGATGATTCAAGAATTATTGGACTAGCTGAAAGCCATGATCCAAAAAAAGAGCCTAGACACCATATTTCAAGAAAATATGAAGGAAAAATATGCAGATATCATAGAACCAGGGGGCAAAGTAGAAATTGAAAGAATCCACCAATCACCTCCTGAAAGAGATCCCCCAAATGGTGCTATTTTGTCCAATAAAACTGACAACCTAAATGAAATAGAAGAATGTTTACAAAAGTATAAATTGCCCAGATTCATAGAAGAGGAAATAGAATACTTAAATTACCCTATCTTAGAAAAAAGAAATTGAACAAGCCATAAATTAGCTCCCTGAGGAAAAAACCCTAGGACCAGATGGATTTACAAGCAAACACTACTAAACATTTAAAGAACAATTAATCCCAATGCTATATAAACTATTTGAAAAAAAAAAGTTAAAGATGGAATCCTACTAAATTCCTTTTATGATACAAATAAGATTTTAATACCTAAACCAGGGAGAGAAAAAAAGAAAAAGAAAAGTATAAACCAACTTTTCTAATGCAAAAATTTTAAATAAAACACTAGCAAGGAGATTACAACAATATATCACAAAGATCATATACTATGCTCAGATGGAATTTATGCCAGGAATGTAGGGTTGGTTCAACATTAGGAAAACTATCAGCATAAATGACCATATTAATAACAAAAACAAAAAAAAAACCATGATATCAGCAGATGCAGAAAACACTTTTAACAAAATATAACACTTATTCCTATTAAGAACACTAGAAAGCATAGGAATAAATGGAACTTTTTTGGAAATGTTAAGTAGTATCTATCTAAAACCAAGAGCAAATGTTATCTGAAATGGGGATAAACCAGAAGCCTTTCCAATAAGATGATCAAAGGTGCAGTAAAGATGCCCAAGGTCACCATTATTATTCAATAGTGTAGGAGAAAAGCTGGCTATAGAAATAAGACAAGAAAAAGAAATGGAAGGAAGAAGAACAGCAATGAGGAAACAAAACCATCACTTTTTGCAGATGATATGATGGTATTAGCTGTGCTTCTTAAACTGTGGGACCCACATTTTAAGAAGTGCTGAAGGGTTTACAAGTGGAAAAAGTTTAATAAGTCCTGGTATATGCTATCCATATCCAAAGAAAAAACTATGGAATCTGAATGCAGATTGAAGCATACTATTTTCTCTCTCTCTTTTTTCTTTCTTATGGTTTTTCCCTTTTGTTCTGATTCTTCTTTCACAACATGACTAATGTGCAGCTATGTTTAATATGATTGGACACGTATGGCCTATATCAGATTGCATGTCATCTTGGGGAGGGGAGGAAGGGAGGGAGGGAGAAAAAAATTTGGAACTCAAAATCTCATAAAAGCAAATGCTGAAAACAATAAATAGATAAAAACAAAAAAGAAGCCCTGGTATAGAGAACCCTGGAGAATCAACTAAAAGGGTATAAACATGTAGCAACTTTAGCAAAGGTGCAGAATATAAAATAAACCCATACAAATCACCAGCATTTTTAGATACTACCATAAAATTCATCAGGAAGAAACGGAAAGAGAAATTCCATTTAAAATAATTGCAGACAGTATAAAATATATGGGAGTCAACCTGCCAAGACACACAGAGAATTATATGAACACAATTACAAAACACTTCACATAAAGACATCTAAACAAATGAAGAAATAGTAATCCCTCATTCTGAGCCAATGTAATACAAATGATAATACTACCTAAATTAATTTACTTATTCAGTGCCATACCAATCAAACAATCCAAAAGTTATTTTAAAGAGCTAGATAAAATAATAACAAAATTCATCTGGAGGGATTAAAGGTTAAGAATGTCAAGAGAATCAATGAAAAAAGAAGTGAAGCAATGCAGCCTAGCAGTACCAGATCTCAAGCTATATTACAAAGCAGTAAGCATCAAAACAATCTGGTATTGGCTAAGGAATACAATGGCTGATCTATGAAATAGATCAGGCATGTAATACGCAGAAGTTAAGGACCATAGGAATCTAGTGTTTGAAAAACCCAAAGAGCTAGGCTATTGGGGCAAGAACTCACGATTTGACAAAAATTGCTGGGAAAACTGGAAAGCAGGCTGGCAAAAACTAGGCACAGACCAATATCTGACACCATACACACCAAGATAAGCCCAAAATGAGTACATAAGTGAGACATAAAGGGTGATATCATACGCAAATCAGGGAAGCATGGAGAATTTTACCTGTCAGATCGATGGATATGGGAAGAATTCATGATCAAACAAGAGAGTGAGAGGATCATGGCAGGTAAAATGGCTGATTTTGATTACACTAAATTAAAAAGGTTTTGCACAAACAAAACCAATGCAGCCAAAATTAGAAGAAAAGCAGGAAACTGGGAAACAATATTATAGCAAGTTTCTCTGATCACACTTCCATTTCTCAAATATATAGGGAATGGACCCAAATTTATAAAATAAGAGTCACTCCCCAATTGAATGAAACACTGAGCAGTTCCCTGGGAATGAAACTCCAGAAGAGAGCCATGAGTACCTCCACGGCCTCCAGCATCTAGACACAACATGAAAAGTCTAGGTAGTGAGTAAGACGTGCCAGACATCATCTCCCGAGGCACGTTCACAAGCCACACAAACCTGATTTGGGACCAGTCTCTGGCCATCCTACTCCAGTGACATGCCAGCAGAGGCCAGAGCATGGAGGACTTTGAATGCCAGGCTAAGGAGTTCCTACTGCACCCCGCCATCTTGGAAGTCACCCCTGCCTCTTTGCTCTTCCTCATCACCCCTCTCCCATCAGTTGACCAGTGCTAATTCCACCTCCGTACTCTGTTAGTGTTACCCCTTCCCCAGCTCTCTGCATTTTACATAGGAAGGAGCTCCTGAGTAGTGCAGCCAGCCCACCCCTCCAGGCAGGAGCCTGGGCTTTCTCCCCCCTCCACAGGCCAGACTCCTGCCTGATACCTCCTAGCACTGCCTTTGAGGCTTAATGCCAGGGTGGTCTCCTGGAGGTCTCCTCCCCGCTCTGACCATTTTACTGGCCTTTTACTCGCTTCTCCTCTGGTCACGTAGCCTCATTATCTGTAGCTTCTTGAGAGCAGGATCTATGCCCTATCTAGCCTTTGTGCCTTATGCATAAGGGGACTCACGAATGTTTGCTGCATGGACTGTGGACCATAGGCAACTGCTAAAGGCTCCTGAGCAGAAAAAGGGTCCGGCCAGATCTGTGCCCTTGGACAAGTGAAGGGTGGATGGAGAGGGGAGAACCCGGAGGCAGGTGGGGCTCTGACCAGGATGGGGCACTTCCCTTGGCCGGTGTCAGGGATGCTCAGCCACTGGCAGCTATCCCTAGTGTCTGTGCTTCTCACCCTGGGTGGATGGTCCTGGGGGCAGATCCCTCTGTAGGCGCATCAGCATGCCACGCCTGTGACTCAGCTGGTCCTGGAGAAACAGCCAATCCTGGCGCAGGGAGACTGCCTGGTACAAGAGGAATTCTGGGGCCTGGGGAGGAGAGGCTCAGTGAGGCTGGGAGGACGCCAGGGCGAATGTGGGCAGTGGGGATGGGGGCAAGGCTGGACTCACCTTGCCTGCAGGCAGCCCCAGGTCCTGGCTCAGGTGGACGAGGTTCTGGGATCCAGGACACGCCGGATGCAGAGAGTAGACAGAAGGGAGGACGGCTGGAAGGGGCTGTGGCCTGGAGAGGGGAGGTGTCGAGATGGGTATAGAAGTCAGGGCCACAGGAGTTGGGAGACAGGGGAGACCTGTGAGCCCAGGGATCAGCAATTGGGAGGAAGGAAGGAGAGGAGGAAATCTTCAGAGATGCGGTCTCACCCCCCTGGATGGCGGCGCAGCAGCGGGTTGAGCTCCAGGCCCAGTAGCCACTGGGCTTCCTCCTCCAGTTTGCCCAGTAGATTCTGGGCCTGCAGCCCCACAGCTCCCGCAGCTGGAACCACTTTCCTTTGGGCCAAAGCCTGCACCTAGAGAGGCAGAAAATGAAGCTTCAGAAAGGCAGATTCCCAGCTCCAGCCACCCTGGCCTGTTCAGGCCCAAGGACTGTGGGCCAAGTCCCTCATCCCCTGCCTCCTCAGCATGCCCTAGCCAGACCTTCCCCTCATCCCTGGGACCTCAGGATCCCTCTGCCCTAGGCCTGACCCGTAAGGCCCTAGCCAGACCTTCCCCTCGTCCCTGGGACCTCAGGATCCC